TTTTAAAAAATTATTTGCAGATTTTTTAAAAAATAAATTGAGAATCTAAAACAAATTATTCCAAATATCCCTCTTTGGAAAATTAATATTTCTAGAACTGTTCAAGTAATAATTATTACAACCAGTTAACTGGTAATAACTTTACCCTTGTGGTCGGGAATGGACAGGAATAGACGAAAAAAAAAAACTACACTTAGGGCTCCGTAACTTACGCCAATTGGTAAGTTCAAGTGTGCATTTTGTGGTGTTTAACTAGGTTAAACGTCAATTGGTGTATAAACTTTAAACACTTCCGAAAAGTACAGCAAGAGTACAAATTTTGCAGAGGTGTGACGCTGCCAACGCGAAGGCCCGCTGCCGGGTATCGCCATATCGTCTCACGTCTTCTGAATCGTGCTAAGAAAGTGACCGCGTGGGTGCAACATCGGCCGCTTCACTGCTAAAAAATAAAAATAATCCTCGAATATATACTAGCTTTCCCTCCCCGGTGACGACCCGGCCTACGGGGGGAGGCCGCTAATTCCCCTTTCCGCCGGGATGTCATCGCCCCTCACAGACTCGCACGGTGACCCCCCCCCCCCTCCTCCTCCCCCGGGTGCGGCAGGAGAAACATGCGACACGTAGCCACGCAGTCGCGGCACCGACTCCAAACCTTGCTTTTCAATACACGACACAAATTCAGGACAGAACGTGTCCCTAGGGTTGGATATTTCCAAAATTTTCCGAAAATTTTCTGAAAATTTCTGGAAAATAAACGAAAACTTCTAATAAAATCTGGAAAATTTTCCATTTTTCCCGGAAATTTCTGTTTTTTCTGAAATTTTCCTGAAACTTTTCAGGACTTCCCATGACAGCATGTCACAGCACGAACCAAGCCCTGGGAATACCAGAGGTTTTTTGGAGATCTAAGGTCAATAAAGTGAAGAGAAGCTCCGGTTGGCGGACGCCTGGCAGGTCGGGCCAGCCCGTCGGACACCCGTGTCCGCAGGGGACAGCGGTTGCCTACCCCCCAGGCGCCCCATGGAGCCGCGCACGGAGGTGCTTCAAGGTAAGGAGGATTTTTATGAGCGAGCGCGCGCCCATACCGTCAACAATACTACACAATCACCTCTTTATAAGACACGACAACACCCCTACCCCCCCTACCCCCCAAAAATACTAGTAATTTAAAAATAACAGGTGTGTCTTTGTAGAAATGGAGGGGGTAGAGGAGGAGACGAGCCTGAGCCCCACCCACCCATTCACTGGCTGCTAGACAAGGTCGAAAACTAGATCACACGGAATGGTTTATGACGAGGTTTAGGGTTGGACGACACGGAGGGTCTCTGGGTGACGACTGATCCAGCAGTAAATAGTTGCAAATCGATGCCGTCTTGAAGGTTTCTCATATTTCGTCTGTTCAAACAGTGCCCATGGCATGCACCACACGGTTGCGTTTGCTGCCCGTACAAATAGCATGCTAATCTATAATCTACGTGGAAGTACTCGCCCATAGATTGAGCGTTCACCCCATTTGGATTTCCAGGTAACATTATTGTGGCAGCCGAGGTGGCACCCCTGCCTGCTGCCGGCCGAGCCAGTTCCGGATGCGGAAATCATTACCAACTTGACGCGCCCACCACTTCCAGCACTTCCTCCTTTACTTTGGGGGTAGGCAGGCAGCCCGAGCAGGCAGCCCGTCCGTCCGCCCGGCCCCTCGGCCTATGGGGGCTGTCAATTTGTCACACCGGGTCGCTAACTTCCGCAAACAAAAGCTGAGTCGCAGCAAATTTAGATATTTTTGAAAAACTTTGGAACAACAATTGTGTCTGCTGTCGAGGTGAAGGAAAATTCTAATCGCAAAATAATTAGTCTTTCCATGACCCCCAATACACCACCTATACTTCAGGTCTGTCTCGGTGTGTGCAACCGCTTTCAGACGCGGCGCGCAATTTCTACTTTAGACTGAACATTTCTAGATATCGGGGTAAACTCTAACACGACACTCTTTGTCTCGCAAATTTGTAGCAATCATCTGTTTTCATGACGCCTTCGCCTCGTCCTTTGTTACTTGACGGAACTTTATTTTTTCCCCAAGTGCGTGGCGTACGGTGCATCGAGCAGAAGCAGGGTGGTCCTAACCAACATATTAGCGCCCCCGATTAGCGCGACGGGACACACAGGTGTAGAGTCATTCGCACCCGCAGAGGGACGGCGACGGACGCGTCACACCGCGTACCGCAACCACACTGCAAACGAGAGTACGACAACGGGTTTGTGGCGGAAAAAGAACTGAGAGCTTCTCTCCAACCCCACAAACTGTCTGGGGATTTTAAAGTGCAAATTTTTTCCGAAAAAAAAAAACAA